CCCCCTCCCCCCCAAATCTCCCCTCCCCAGCCACACCCCGGAGCCCACACTCCAGTCACATGATGCTGGGTCGCAGCATCAACAATTTTCCTCAACTGGGTCATGAGAAAGAAAGTTTGAAATCCCCCTGCCTAGGCGACCATCCGGTTCACTTGTATGCAGGCCTGCAGTTCGTATGAGCACCCGGCTTTAATGTCCAAGGGCAAAGGCCTTCGCTGTTGCCTCCTTTAGCTCTGCAGGGAACTTCAGATGCACGTTGGATAAAACACCTTGATCACCCGATTCAGGATCTCTTTTGTTGCCACCCCATAAATGACGGGGTTTAACATGGGGGGAAGGAGCACGTAGAGGTTGGCCAGGAGGTTGAGGATGGAACCGGGGAAGATGTGCCCATATTGGTGTGCGAAAGAGGAGAAAAAAGCTGGCGTGTAGAACATCAGGATGACACAGATGTGGGAGCCGCAGGTGTGTAAAGCCTTGAGCCGGGCACCCTTGGACGGGAGCCGGAAGACGGCCCTGACGATCAGCGTGTAAGACCCAGCAATGAGCACAGCGTCCAAGCCAATTGCTAATAAACCGAGGACTAAGCCATAATAGAAGTTGGCTGTGATATTACCACAGGCCAGCCGGGATATGGCCATGTGCTCGCAATAGGTGTGAGGCAGGCGGTTGGTTCTGCAGAACGTCAGCCGCAAAACGAGAAATATAAAAGGGAAAACGAGACAGAAACTCCTTGTGAGAACCGCCAGCCCAATCTTCCCGACCACAGGTGTGGTGAGCAGGGTGGTGTATCTCAGGGGGTTGCAGATGGCAACGTACCGATCAAAACCCATGGCCAGCAGGATGCCCGACTCGGCGATAAAACTGGCATGGACAAAGAACATCTGGGTGAGGCAGGCAGCAAAAGAAATTTCCCCTGCACCGAACCAGAACACGGCCAGCATCTTGGGCACTGTGGTGGTGGATAACAGCAGATCAGCAGCAGCCAGCATGGAGAGGAAAAGGTACATGGGCTCATGGAGGCTTCGTTCTGTCGCTATGATGTAGAGGAGGAGAGAGTTCCCCAGAAGTGCCGCAACGTACATCAGACAGAAGGGGACGGCGAGCGAGACCTGAGACTCCTCTGTACCGGGGAAGCCGGTGAGGATGAAAATTTCAGGTATAAAAACGCTGTGATTGTTGGCTGGCATCATGCACCGTCCCTTGGAGCTTCTATTCCTCTTCCAGCTGCTAACACAGAAGAAAATGAGTAAGACCTGGAGGGGCAGCCGGGACTGGACTGTGTTTGGGGACAGAATGAGAGACCCCAGCAAACCTCCCTGGTGTGAGCAGCCTGTCGGGTGGGACCCTGGACCAGACTCACTCTCCTGCTATGGAACATCGCCTCCTCCTCCCCTCAGGGAACATATAGGGGGATGGTCCTGTTGACAGAGCATCAGCCTCTTAATCTGAGTATTTGGGGTTCCAGTTCCTGGTCTGACAATGGAGCTTCTCTCTGCTGCATGCCTCTGAGCTTCCCAATTTGAGTATTTGGGGTTCCAGTTCCGGGTTTGACAATGGAACTTCTCTCTGCTGCATGCCTCTGAGCTTCCCAATCGTTCTCTGCCTCCTTGCTACAGAGCCTAGTTCTTAGGAGTCCTCAGGACTCTCTTGGAACGGACGGGGTTTCCCAAAATCTCTGCACCGGGGGAAGTGCTGGACCCAGGGTGAAGGCATTTCGAGATCTCAGAAACTCAACCAGCCAATGTTGTAAGCATCTGCAAATCTGCCTGTGCCATCAATTAGGGGAGGAATCTGTTAATTCACATCCAATCCATCTACTAACATAAGAACAGCCACACTGGGTCAGACCACAGATCCATCCACCCCAGTGTCATGTCTGGGCACAGTGGCCACTAACAGATGCCCCAGAGGGAGGGAACACAACAGGGAATCCTCTCATGATCTCTCCCCTGTCAGCCATTTGCGGACACACGTAGGCTAGGGACACCATTGCTAGCCACCCTGGCTAATAGCCATTGATGGACCTAACCTCCATAAGTCTATCTAGCTCTTTTTTGAACCCTGTGAAAGTCCTGGTCTTCACCACATCCTCCGGCAAGGAGTTCCACAGGTTGATTGTGTGCTGGGTGATGAAAAATTTCCCTTTTGTTTGTTTTAATACTACCTAAAGCTTAGTTTGCATTCTGCTTATTTCAAGGTCATCAGCTTTGACCTGTTTGCTGTCCCTCATAATCACTCAGAATGAATCTTTTGAGGTTCATAAATTGGTTGTGCGTATTAATCGAAGCCCAGTGCCTTCAAGTGACATGTCTGGGGGGAGGGGTGTTACTGACTCTTGCAAAGGTTGGACAGAGCTTGCATGTAACTGCAGCTGTGTGATGGCTGGGGGAAGGGAAAGACCCAGACTGCCTCTACAGCTTGTCAAAGCAGCAAGGCGTGAGAGCTAGGCTGGTAGAGGGCTCTGTAGTGTCCCAGTTGCAGGTGAACCCCGCCCCAAATATGTCTCCATCCCCCCCAGGCAGATTCATTCCACACGGAGGACTCACCAGGCTCCTGCCCTGGCCAGGGTGAGCGATCGCTGGCTGGGCACAGGGAGCTGCAGGGATGGGGAAGTCGCACTGCGCAGGGCTGAGGGACAGGGGTGTTTATACAGCAGCCCTGGGAATCCCAGCGGGGGCTCGGAGCCAGCAGGGAGCCCAGGGACCTGGCTTCTGAGACTGACTCAGGTGGAAAACAGCAGCCGAGAATTAACCCTTTCCCCTCCCTGGCTGTGTCTGAGCATTTCTCCTGTTGTACGTTATTTAGGAAGGCAGTTGTGATGCTGAGGCTCCATGCAAAGAGGTCCTTGGTCCGTGGCAACAGCTGCCATCTCAGACTGGGAAACGCCAAAGACTTATGGGTATTTACCCCTATGTAACCATAAAGTGTAGCATGTCCTTAAATGAAATGAAAAGGCAGCAGGTTTAAAACAGAAGGAAGTTTTGCTTCGCTCAGCTCGCAGTCAACCTGTGGAACTCCTTGCCAGAGGATATGGCGAAGGCTAGAACGTTACCAGGGTTCAACAAAGAGCTAGATTCATGGAGGTTAGGTCCATCAATGGCTATTAGCCAGGGTGGGTAGGAATGGTGTTCCTAACCTCTGTTTTTCTGGAGGTGGATGACAGGAGAGGGATTACGAGATAATTACCTGTTGTGATCCCTCCCTCTGGGGCACCTGGTGTTGGTCACTGTTTGCAGACAGGACACTGGGTTAGATAGACCTTTGGTCTGACCCAGTCTGGCCGTTCGTATGTTCTAATATGAGGTGTGTCCAGAAAGCTCCTAAATTGTCAAGACTTGCCACCGCTGCAGAAGGCAGGTGGAAACCGTAGTTCATATAGTGACGCTGACTGTGAGGTTTGTGGACCTGGAGGAGAAGTTAGCCACAGGGCACAGTGTAGGGTGGTGATGGCCAATCAAAGAGGGTGTTCTCATCCCGCCCTGGTTAGCTGGGGATGTAACACCAATGTCACGTTATTGGATTTTAAAGTAAATAGATCACTGCTGTGCCCATGGGGGAGGGGGTGTTCACCCCAAATTCCATACAAAGGGGGCCATGTGCCATGTCAAACAAAAGCTTATGTTCTACTGATTCTAAGGCTGCTACTCATGAACTTGTGCGATGTTTGTATGTGGAGTTCTGAGCTCTGCGCTGGTCCTGGGAACGTTCCCTGTCTGAGACAGAGCAAAGGCCTGGCCTGCCTGTTGTAAGGATGGCCAATGAATGGCTGTGTTAACTAGCGCTGCTTCAGGGACCATGGCTCTCTAGGTGCCCAATACACACCTGAGGAATGTGTCTGGAAACCTGCAACCAGCCAGGGAATCATAGCTGCTGGTATGGGTCACAGGGATAGGTCACTTGACCATGTGACCCGCTCCAGCTTGGAAGGAACCAGGGATGGATGGAAAGTTCCATGCAGTGGACTCCATCTTGTCTTCAATTCTGCTCCTGATCCCAGATGCAGTTTTGCAAGGGACAGAGAGCCAGGAAGGATTTCACACCAGAGACTTCTAAGCTAGCAGTTTTAATATCTCTGCTAGGAGCCTGCATCCAGAACTGGGTGACTGGTGCATGTAACGTATTCTCCTTAACAACCTCACTCTCCACCTTTTCTTTCTTTAGGCTGCATCTACACGGCAGGCTTCTTGCGCAAGAACTGTTTTGTGCAAGAGTTTCTGCCCAAAAGGTCTTGCAACATTGCCCCGTGCTATTGCACAAGAGTGTTCACGGCAGCGTGGACACTTTCTTGTGCAAGAAAACACTGATGGCCATTTTAGCTATTTTGCACAAGAAACCCCTTGCGCACGAGGGCTTATTCCTCGTGGGGAGAGGAATAACTCTTGCGCAAGAAGCTCTCTTTTCCGACACTTTACTGTAAATGTACTTGTGCAAGAACGCACATGCAGTGTAGACGGGCCACAAGTTTTTGCACAAGAATGGCAGTTCTTGTGCAAAAAGCTTGCAGTGTAGACGTAGCCTCAGATTTTAGATTTTAAAGGGTTGGCCCAGCGTGATTTTGTGGGTATGATCCAAAGTGCAAACTGACAGGGATCTGTGGCTGGTTCTGTGGTACCGGGAGGACCTGTTCAGGGAGGTGCCATCTATAACCTCTCACCTGTCAGCAGACCTGGGGCTGACTGTGGCACAGGGAAAGCTGGGGTGTCTGAGGGGTTTTGCTCGTGAGGCTTCCTGCTGGCTGGATTGGCAGCTGAAGCGCTCGGTGAGACTGGTGTGTGGCCTGTTTGGGGAAAGTCTCCAGTCAGGGGCTGTGAGGGGCCCTGGTTTTGAGCAATTTGACCTAAGCTGACACCCTCAGAGCGGTGCCCAGACCCAGCCCAGTCCATGTCAGCCACACTCTATCGTCCAGCCCAGCTCCACCCCAGGGGGATCTGTGGACAATCCTCAGAGGAAACTGGGACCAATTGATCCCTCTTGGAGGTCACTGGAGGAACCTGAGGAAAGAGCCCATTGCCCTGCCTCTGAAGAGACACAAAAGATTGCTCCAGTGGAACACCAGCAGTGGGGAGCCCTTCTGCTCCCCTCGGGCAGGGAACTGGCTTTCTCTGAGCACCTAGGGTGTGTCTAGACCACATGCCTCTGTTGACGGAGCCATGTAGTCTAGACGTAGCCCTGGTGCCAGGCTGGGTCGCCCAGGGCACCGATTCCAAGGGCTCAGAGGCTGGGGAGCCCCTCTTGTTTCCGTGCCAGGGGACGGCGGGGCTGGCCTAGCGAGAGGGGCGCATGCCCTCCTTCGGTCGGGGGGACGAAGTCACTCTCAGACCTGAGAGCCTGCCCAGACTCCGCCTGAGAACCGCTCGGCCTTTCTGAGGCGCCTCTGAGGTCCCCTGAGTCCCGGATCACGAGTGAAGCAAGGTGGAGGAGGGGATAGCTGTGAGTGGAGTGACATCTTTCAGCGGGTTCATCCGAGATGGCCCCTCGCAGTCGGGGCGGACCCGGAGAGGTCATCAAATCCAGTCCTGTGCACTCGTGGCAGGACCAAGCACCTTCTAGACCGGGGCGGGCAATACTTTTTGAAGGGGGGCACTTCACAAATACATGCCCATAGACCCTGCTTTGCCTGGGGGTGTGGGAGCGCGCAAAGTCTCCTCCCCTGCCAGGGGTGCACATCGCTTAGTGAACTACCAGCTGAGCAGCTGGCGGTTCACTCTAAGCACCGCGCGCCCCATGCAGGTTGGGGGCAGGGAGCAAGAGACTTCACGCTTCCCCCCGCCCTCAAGCCCTGATTGGCCTGGAGGTGGGGGGACCACACAAAGTCTCTTCCCGATGCCAGAGGCACAAGCACCCGCCAGCTGTTCAGAACAGCTTGCAGTTCTCTCTGGGGGCGGGGTGGGGGCAAAGACTTCACTTGCTCCCCATCCCCCAGGCCAATCAGGGCCTGTGGACAGGGGAGCAGGGAAGTATCCTGGCCCCGCCCCTTACAGGATGGCTCTGGGGCCCCTTAAAAAATATGTGAAGTGGCCCCCCCTTCTAAAATTATTGCCCACCCCGTTCTAGAGGTATGAAATGCTGCTTGTACGGGTGGTGCACAACCACACACCCTGGTGCACGTGACAATATTTATTCCACGCATGGATGAAAAAAAATAGAGGGAACATGGATCTCCTGCTGGGTGCGTGATGTGTCCTGCACAGCGTGTGCTGGGGAAGGTGCCGTACAGACAGCGCTGGAGGCTGGGCTGCCCAGC